TGGAGACTCGCAAAGGACTGCACCGCGTGGTGAGCGCCGCACTAGGGGGGTCCCGGGGAGACGCCCCCAAACCGAAGTGGGAGGGGGCGGTCAAGCAGGGTTTCGAGGCGGGCGCGGTGGCTCACGCCCGTAATCCCCGCATTTGGGGAGGCCGAGGCGAGAGGATTGTCTGAGCCCGGGGGTTCGAGACCAGCCTGCGCAACTTGGCGAGACTTCGTCTCCACAATAAATCATAAAATTAGCTGGGCGCGGTGGCTCGCCCCTGTGGTTCCAGCTACTTGGGAGGCTGAGGCGGAAGGATCACCTGAATCCAGGAGATCGAGGCTGCGGTGGCCGTGAGCATGCCACTGCACTCCTGCCTGCGCGACAGTGAGACTCTGACCCAGGAAAAAGAAAAAAGAAAAAAAGAAAGCCTTTCCGGAGGAGGTGGTCTCTCACATTGAGGGGAAAACTGATGGAGATAAAGCAAAGGATCCTGGGCTACGGAGTATGTGTGGCCGGGGAATGCGCAGGGTCCACACGGGCTTAGAGAAGCTGGGACATCCACAGCTAAATGGGGGGGGGGGGAAGCCTGGACATCACAGTGAGACCCTGTCTCTACAAAAATAAAAATACAAAGTAGCCGGGTGTGGTGGCTCACACCTGTAGTTCCAAGCTACTCTGAAGGTTGCTGTGGGAGGATCGTTTGAGCCCAGGAGTTCAAGGCTTCAATGAGCTATGACCGCACCATTGGAATCCAACCAGCCTGGGAGACAAGAGAAAGACTCTGTCTCTAAATAATCATAATTTTAAAAGAACCCGATATTTGAAGAAGATATCGAAGCATCTTAGGGAGGATCAGAACTTTGTTAGATTTCTTTACACTTATTTTCTGGTTTGGTACTGTTTACTCCCTGTAGCGGTGGTGGTGGTGAGTAGGTGGATATCACAATCTGAGCCCGCTGGAACAGTGGCTGCCTGCAGTACCTTCAGAAGGATGATCAGTAAAGGAAACGTGTGTTGGGGACTGGAGGGAATGACAGCAACAATGGCCTGGTCCAGTGGCAGCCCACTTTCTCTGGACGATTCCCCACTGCTGGCCCCGGAGTCTACAGGCAGGAACCTCAACCGAGAGGCAGTTTCTTGGTTCCCCAGCTTCTGGCCGTGCCCTCTGCTCAGTGCCTGCGGTTGTATTCCTGGGGCTTCTGCCCCCCTGCTCCAACCCTTGGGGAGCAGCAGAGCCACTCTGCCCCCATAGCCTCTTCTGCATGTCCAGCACTGTCTGCAGTCTTTAACTGCAGCATGTATTAAACCCCTACTGGGGACAGGAACACTTCCTATCTAACATGATCCTGACAGGTTATTTTTTAAAGATGGAGAACTTGTAGCTCAGGAGTTAACTAGCTCTGCCCTAGGTCATCAGTGGCAGAGCTGCAACAGGAACCCTGTGCTGAGCCCAGGTGCATTGTGGCCTGCGGCTGTCGCTTGGTCTGGACACTCTAGACATGCCTGTGCTCCAGTGGCTAAGCCCTACCTGGCCAAGAAACTCTATCTCCATGTTCCGTAGGTGGGCACTGGAGCTGGTCTGTGGATTCCCTTCAGCCCTCCAGCACCCTGCCCCCCCAGGGAAGGAAATCATGAGAAAAAAATCCGTGCTGAGGGTTGATGGCTTCCTAGAGCAGCTGAACCACAGCCACCTGGAGTCAGTCCGGGAAGTCTCCCCTTCTGGTCAGGAAGATGAAGTGAACCAATCCAGCACCCCTTTTCCCTCCACTCGAAGCACTGGTGGTCAGCCTCTTTGCTTTTCAGAGATAGGTAGCAAGTGGTCACCCACCGCACCCAGACCCTGGGAGACAGGCTGTGTTGCTGGCTGCTCACAACCCCTGCTCTCTAGGACCTGCTGCACCCAGCAGTTGGATAGTGGGAGTGACGGAGTTGCAGAAAGCCTCCCATGACACACTTACAGGGAAAGCCCTGGAGACCCTCCTCTCCAACACCAGAGGCAGTCTTGGACCTAGCTCCTACCCTTGTGGTTGTCATCTCTCACCTCCTTATCTCTAAAGGAGGTAGAAGATCCTGGATCGTCACGCTTTTTTTTTTTTTTTTTTTTGAGTTGGAGTCTCACTCTGTTGCCCAGGCTGGAGTGCAGTGGCACACTCATGGCAACCGCAGCCCCGACCTGCTGGGCTCCGGCGATCCTTCCGCCTCAGCCTTCCGAGTAGCCGGAATTACAGGCATGCACCACCAAGCCTGGCTAATTTTTGATTTATTGTAGAGAGGAGATCTCGCCAAGTTGCCCAGGCTGGTCTCAAACCCATGGGCTCAGGGAATCCTCTTCCCTCAGCCTCCCAAAGTGCTGGGATTATAGGCGTGAGCCACTGCGCCCGGCCTGTTCTTTACACTTCCTAGCTTAACTATGGTCAGAAAGAGGTCTGAGACACAGCCTAAGGCACTAGGGGTGGTCAGATCTCTCCAGCTTGGGGACACGGAAGAAAGACACCAGTGTCTCCCCCATTGCCACACTCACAGCCCCTGGACTCCCTCTCACACTCGTCACAGGCAGAAAACAGGGCAGCAAAGGAACTGTGCCTACGCCAATGGAAAGTTGTAAAGACCAGACTGGGGTCAGGCAGTCTATTAGGGGCCTACCAATAATAAAGCTTGTAGGTCTTTTACCAAGACAAGCAAGTAAACCAGGACAACTGGAGGTTGCCTTGGGTCTAGGCAACTACCCTACCCGAGGCTGCTGGAGTTGACAACAGCCACTCTCACTTTTGAGGGTATAGGGCTAAGAGAAAGGGCAGAAAGGAAAAGGAGCAAGAGAGGCCTTGAGAGCTGCCACTCAGGATGCGATCCTTGAACTAAATCTGATTCCCTTGTTAAAATGGCATAAAGTTTATTTACAAATATCTGTACAGTTTGAGTGACAAGTCAGGGCTTCACAGAAACAAAAACAAAAGCATTCTTTTGGAAGGGAAGTTGCAGGCAGTAGATTTTCCCTGCACCTGTTAGAAGCAAGACAAACAAACAGACCTGTATACATTATGAACTAGGCATATGGACACTGGCCTTTTTACTTCTTGGAAGGAACTGGAAAATGGATAAAACAACCTTGGATGCTACACCCTTCAACACTGAAACCACATCGAGGGGAGGAGGGGCCCACTGAGGCAATTCTCCAGCACAAGAAATAGTATGAACCACCAAGAAACCCTTGCTGGTGGGACAAAGCCAATGTCTTGCGCTTGGTCAGGACCTGGGCTCAGAGGCCCTGCTGCAGCTGAGACTGGAACTAGTCCTCAGTCTTGATCCCAATCACCAAGCAGGTGACTCAGGTGATAAATTAACTTTTGGTCTTCTTTGGTTGGCTTTTCTTCCTGTTCTGTGCTTTGGCATTTCGGAATGGTTTCAGCAGCTGCATGTGGGGAGGTAGTGGCAAAGTGGCTACAGTGTGATGCAGTTTTCATAAAAATTTTATTACACAGCCATAATGTAATCGACACTTCTCCAAATCCAAATGATACTAAATACAGATCTACATGATGGATCAGAATGATTCTGGATTCTATCATTTTATGTCTTTTAAAACCAGAAAGAAAAAAGAAGTCCAAGTTTGTCATGATAGGAGAAGTCCCAGCAGCTCCAGGACTCTGCCGGAGTCCAGGCAATGTTTAACAGTCTGTGATTCCACATTTACACAACAGTCTACAGAGTTTGGTCAATGGACTATTCAAGTATATATGATTTTAATGAGTCCATCACCACTCCTTTGCTCAACCAAACTGTCACAGCCACCACACAGCTGTTACAGTCATATTTATCAATTTTACACAGTCACAATACTTCTTTAAAACCATCCATTGCTGCTTTTTTAAAATAAAAATAAACTAAGTTAAAGCAACACTGAGGCTTTACTAAACCCAGAAGAGTTACCAAGTTCATTTTTATGCTTAAATGCAACTTAACTCCATGATTTCCCATCACCCCCCTTCCTTATACAAAAGTAGGGTGAAGAAGGACAAAGCAGAGCTTTGAGATTCCTCTCCCTCTTGTGGAAATCAGCAGCGCTCAGCTGTTTCTTTAGCTTAGTTCTTGGTATATATAGTCAGCTGTACTTTGTTCTGAAAAGATTTGCTAAATGCCACTTTTATTTACACTTGGAGCTTTACACCTGAGAATGATTATCAAGCAGTCAGCTTATCTCTTTTCAAACATTTCATAAAGACATACACACCTCTTTGCTGGCTTCACCCGAGCTGCACAACAATATATATGCTGACCATATATATATGTATACACACACACAAAACTGCACATGCTTGGAACAACTGCAACCTACATCTTTTGTGTTTGCTCTCCACATTCGTGTTGAATAATTTCTCTTAAAAAACAAAAAACCAAAATACTATTCTTGCCAAAACAGCAAAACAATTACTAGGAAGAGACAGGTACACTGGGTGGGGAAGAGGCGTTCCACCTTCAGCCAAGAAGCTGTGGGCTGCACCTGTGGGATGGGCACGACACAGTCCCTGCCGTCCCCGGTGCCTGGCCACAGGCTCCCCTCCCACCTGCCAGGACAGCTTGCAGGGCAGGGGGCTACACTGGGGAGTCTTCTCCAAGATGGGGAGGTGATGGGGAAGAGGCGGGGGAGGGAAGTTACACAGCTACAGCAGTCAGGCCTGTTTAGTAAGAAGAATCATATTTAATGAGTTTCTTTCTTGCAGTTTCAGATGCTCAAGTACAGCTGAAAAAAATCTGAAACAGCTATAGACCCATGACAGACTGATACAAAGAGTACTGAATTTTTAAAAATGATAAAAAAATCCACACACTTACATACACATACATACAAACGCGCTCTCTCTCTCTCTCAAATTAGACCCCCCTCCCTCCCCACAAATGTACACTTTTTGGAAACTAAATCGGTTTTGAAAACCTCTCTTCCGCAGAGAAGGCAGGAAGAGAAAGATGAGAGAGGAAGGAGGGCTGCAGGTGTCCAAGCCCTGCTCCCTCCACAAGGGTCAGGTGCCAAATGCTCAATGGTTGGGTCCAAGGCAGTCCAGAGAGGAGACTGCCCAGTGCTGCTGCTATCGCCACCAGGGGCTCCAGCAAGAATCCCAGCTCCATGGTAATACTGAATGTGTGCAGAGTGGCCAATGAACTGTGCTGGTTAAAAAAACAAAACAAAAGGCAAACACAAATCTAAAGACATGGATAAAGCCCAAGAGAACCCAGACCCACACTGAGTGGAGTCCGGGGGGTTGGTGGGAGATGGTGTGCAGACAAGGGAGGTCTATACAGCAAATGGTTTATATTACAGATGACTGGCAGTTTAGAGTCTCTTCCCAGTTCCACTGCTGCTCCAGCCCAAAGAGGGCAAATCAAAGGAGAAGAGGAAAGGTGGGACACTGATGGGGCATGCAGGGTCAGAAGCAGCAGGCTGGGTGTGCTCAAATAAGCCCCCGTCGTTTTTTGTAGTCTTCCAAGTTCAGAGATCTCCTTGGAGCCCCATCCTTGGCTGGCGGGGCCTTGGAGGTGATGGCCAAAGCCTTTGACTCTGTGGGAAAAAAAAGCAAACTGGCATCTGGAGGACCTCCCAAGACCTTCCAGGCTTGTGCTTCACTCTGTCAGACAGCCTTACCATAAGCCGGTGGCATGGGCCCTCTCCAAACACACCTGTAGCCAGATACTGGTGAGCAGACATCCCCATCTGTTTCCTAAAGTCAGGGCTCCTTGCTGTCCAAGAGAGCCCTGGAGTCATCTGGTCCTCAGCCCTCACTATTCCCCGACCCTCACATACCTGAGCTGGGAACTTGTAAATCAATCTTCACATCAAAATCATGTACTTTGAATAGGTCTTCTGAGAGGTCACTGGCTGACTTAGAATTCAGATCCTTATCCTTGCCCTGACCCTGCAATGTGAAGAGAAAAACTAACTGTAAGAGTCTAAATGCAAGTAGATTTCTTTTTTTTTACTTCTTTTGAGCCAGAGTCTCACTCTGTTGCCCAGGCTGAAGTGCAGTGGCACGCTCATGGCCTCTGCAGTCTCAATCTGCTGGAATCAGGCGATCTTTCTGTCTCAGCCTTCCAAGTAGCTGGAACTAGAGAAGCGCGCCACCACACCCGACTAATTTTTTGATTTATTGTAGAGACAAGGTCTTGCCAAGTTGCCCAGGCTGGTCTCAAACCCCTGGGCTCAGGCAATCCTCTTGCCTCAGCCTCCCAAAGTGCAGGATTATAGGTGTGAGCTACTGTGCCCAGCCTGCAAGTGGATTTCAAGCAGCAGTTGCCACTAAAGGGAAAAGCTCCTGTTCAAGTTCAGTAGATTTTCCTACAAAAGCCCTTTTCTGATTCCTTCTCTCAGAGGGAGGACAGGAGAGGCCACTGACAAAAAGCTTTCTCTCTTCTGGAGTCTAAAAGCAAAGAGGGGCAAGCTTATGTTTGTGGTATGAGAGTAGAAGGGTGGGCATAAGACAACGGGTCACCTTATGACCCAAGATTTCAGGAATCCCTGGGACCATTTAGGCTCCAGCAGGAAAAGGAACTTGAGTAGAAAACGGCTTCTCATGCCAGGAGCAGTGGCTCACACCTGCAATACTAGCACTTTGTGAGGTGGAGGTGAGAGGATTGCCTGAGCCCAGGAGTTAAAGCTTGGGCAACTTGGCAAAACCTCGTCTCTACAATAAATCTAAAAATTAGCCCGGTATGGTGATATGTGCCTGTAGTTCCAGCTATTTGGAAGGCTGAGATGGAAGGATCGTCTGAGCTCAGCTAAGCCACTGCATGCCAGCCTGGGTGACAGAGCAAGACTTTGACTCAAAAAAAGAAAAAGAGCTTTCACTTTTTTGGGTCCTTCCACGTCATCTCCCCTCCTAATTATCCCGTGAAGTAGACAGGTTATATACTATCATCCTCATTTTACATATGAGAAAATGTGGAGCAGAGGGCTAGAAGCCACCCACCTAAAGACACGGTCAAGACCTAGGGTAAGTAGCGGTGTTGGGTTTAGAATTTAGATTGTCTGATCAAATTCAGTAGGTGTTGATTACATCTGTAAATAATTGGGGTGGAGAGAGGACTGCAAGTGGGACACCATGGTCCTTCAGTGGGAAAATCAAGCCCAAACTAGACAGAGTGTGTGTTTGGTGTTTCAGCCAGCAGCCCAGCTCAGCAGGCCATGGGGCGGTCCTGCACTTGCCTTGCTCATTTCCTTTGGAGCGTCTGGTAACACTCCAGAACCATATTTTGCATTCAGCTGGGCCAAGATGGCAGCTTGAACAGCTGGGTCTCTGGACTGAGAGAGAAAATAAGTTATTTTAGAGATTGTTCAACACTCAGAGTCCTACTGCCAGATTCTTTTCCCACCTACCACCCTAACATTGCAGGCACCACAGCAGACCCATCAGCAGCTCAGTGGGCTTTTCCTTCAGGCAGCAAAAAAGGGCAATTAAAAGCTTAAAAGCCAAGCCAAGCCCAGTCCAGTCAGGCAGGCCCTAGCCAAGTGACACATTACTGAGGTCCACTGTACTGCAAATGCACCTTGCTACATGGGGGTTAGGCCTTAGGTCTATAAATCCATGCCAGATTTTCACTATCTATATGCCCTATAGCAAGATAAAAAAGGAAGTATCCAGACCCAAGAGCTTCAGGCAAGCAACTCCCAGCTAAGAAAACATTATTTTTAACTTCTTTATTAATTTCCTAATGGAATTCATTTTCTGTCCTAGAATCTAGGTCCTGCCTTAAAACGTCCTCTTTAGGCACTCACATTAGAAACAATGGTAGGTTTGCACTGCCGCCTGGTGAAGGGATCCATCTGCTGGTTTTTCATGTTGTGACTTTCAGCCTGAAACAGAGAGCATGCACTCTATGACTCCATTCCCCCTCCTCTCATTTATCCCAATCACAAGCTCACGTGCATGTAAGTCTTTCAAGAGACTGAACCAAATAAAAAGCTGCCTATTACCCTTTTCCCTTCAAGAACACAATGGATATGGGGGCAAACAACCAACAGCAAAAAATGGATACAAGTGAATATCCAGGGGGCAGAATCTAAGGGTAGGAAGGGGAGGACAGGCAGAAGACTACTGCTCTTTTTTGTGAATTCATAATTATATGGGTGTTTACGGGCATTCAGACAGAGAGTGAGTGTGTGCTAAATGTACATGGTATTTCAGTAGTTTGGAAAATAAACTCAAGCAAGATGTAGAAAAGATTTCATACCACTTCATTAAAATTTGTTTCAGTGATTCATATAAAGTTGTCTTACTCACCACAAGGGCCTTCTCAGATTCCACGATGTTCCACTCCCGGTTCCGCTGGTTGATGTAACTGTGGGATAAGAGGAATGAGTCAGTGGGCTGTGAAAGGAGGGAAGGAGCCATTGAGCACTACCACAGAGATCCGTAGTCAGTGCAGCACAGTGTGTACAGGACATAGGCTTGCCTGATAGTTCTGACCAAGGTCTGTGGACTAAGAATAGAGGCTCAACCAAAACAGGCTCAGTAACATACCTGATAGCGGATATGTTCTTGGTCCTCTGGCGGTCCAGGGCCTCTGCCCGCTCTTCCAGCTCATTCAACTGGTCTTGGATTTGTTTGGCCTTGTCCTGATCCCCCAGGTCCTCAGCCATGGCCTGTACATAGAGAGATGTGTAAGTTCCTGGCTATAACTGGCTCTATATCAAGTAGCCCTTTATTTCCAGCTCAGGCAAGGTATCTCACATGACGAGCACATGACAGAAGATGCGAAAGACTATTGAAGAGGTACTTCATAAGATATACTTTTACTTATACTTTTATGAAGAGGTACTTCAAAAGATATACAAACATAAGATATACTTTTTATTATAGCAGTATACAGTACCATAGTAACACCTTCCCATATGGCTACCTGGTTCTGAGTCCCGTGGCAGTGATATGTGACATTTACCTTAGAACCCAGGCCCAATGTGGCTAAACTACCATAAAGAAGGCTCACCCCTTCTTGATGTGAGAATGGAAAACCACCAGTCACAGCTGGCCTTGACAATGTCATCTGTCTGTTCAGACCCATTTTGGAATACTCCCCCCAGGGTTTATTACACATGAAATGAAAATGACTAGAAAGTAAGGTGAATGGAACACATAAGATCAGTTTCAGCTTACAGAAAGGAAGATGGCCAAGGAATGCTGCCCAGTTGCCAAGAACACATACTGTGTTGCTTATAATCAAGTTCGGAATTTTCTCCCAATCCTGCCACCACTAACTTGGCAGAGGATGAACAAGTTTGGTTTCCACATCTCCATACATGATGGGGAAAGAGGCTCGAATGCAAAACCTTACCTTTTCCTTTAGCAGCTGAGTCTTCTTCATAGCATAGTTGGGTGGAGCTTTTCTGAACCTTTCTTTCTCTTTTACAATCTGTACCAGAGAGGAGATACCAGCAGTCAGGTATTCCTAAACTATGTTTGTAGACAGGCTAAGTGAGCCCATTTTTGAGGCAAGCAGGTATAGTTATAAGGGGTCTGCTTTTCCTATAGCAGTACCATGAACCAGAGAGAGAGGGAGACAGCAAGTTCATTCCAAGGAATATTATGCTGCTTCCAGTGTCTCGCAGATTCTTCAGGGACAGTCTGAAGGAATATGTACCAATAAACAGCAGCGGCCCAAGGGCCTGGTACTGTAAGGCTAGCCACTGTCCAAGAGAACAGAGATCAAATAATTTTACCAAAATGTTTCAGAGGAAGGACTAAGCCTAGCAGAATATAGATCCCTGAACCCTGAATACACTTTAGTCTACACAGTCCCATCTGCAGATGGGAATGTACAGAGAAAGCTAAATGAACTCTACATAACAGGGTGGCAATATTAGTATGTCCTCATTTTCATGCATAAGTAAAAATGTCCAGATACAGACAGAAAAGAAATTCACAATCTTATCTAAATACTGGTTATTGATGACTTCCAGGCTCTGGGGTACCAGGTTTCTTACCTCTTCAATGTCCTGATCATTGAATTTATAATTAAGAGCTTCTTTAATAGATAATTCCTTTTTATTGATTTCATCTAGAGTGGGTAACTGCATGCCAGCAGAGAACATCTGGACCAAAACAGGATAAAAGGTTACTAATAAGGGATTTTGGAAAAAGATTGTCTCACTGTTCAAGAACAACTGGTAGGTAGTCTCTAGCGACTTACCGCTTCTTTCCACTTCATAAATTCACTTTCAGTGAATTCTTGGTTTGAGACAAACTCTAGGCGGAACACACGTTGGTCATTGCCATGCCTATGTGAAAGAGAGACAACACTTCTAAGAATGTACATGTTGACTGTAGCACTAGCAAAGCAACCTTACCAGACTATGTACTACCTGTCGCTACCCATCTCTGTGATTCTCAATCCTGGCTACCCTTTACAATCATCCCAGGTTGTTTTAATAGGCAGACAGGGTTAAGAATCCCAAAGTTAGTACTGGAAACAAAATGGACTTATCAGGTGGCGTGTGCCTGTAGTCCAGCTACTCAGGAGGCTGAGGCAGGAGGATCACTTGAGCCCAGAAGTTCAAGGCTGTATTGCATTATGATTGCCCCTAGAACAGTGCCTGGCACATACTACATTCATTAACTATTCACTGAGTTGATGACCCTTTAATTTTATTGAAGAGGAAACTATGAATGGAAAAATGATTTGACTCGTCACAGATGAGGTCAGTTATAAGAGAGTCAAGACCAGAAGTAAGCCTCCTGGCCATACTCACCAAGGAAAGAACCAGCTGGGCTCTCTCACAACCTGACATCTCCCCTCTGTATGTCCTACCCCTTCTATATCTAGTTCCTTCTACAGGAAAGCATATCCTACTTTCCCTATAAGCAGAGACAGAATACAAGTCTCCCTTGAGGTGCTTTGCGGGGATTGCATACACAGTATTCACTGTCATAAGAAACATCACACTGAGAGAGAATGCCAGCCCAAAAGGCAGTGCCTGTTTGAAGTGGAAGCAGAAGCTGCCACAGAAGTGCCTTTACCGTAATTGTAGCCCTTTGTTTGTTCTGGTGCCACCTAGCTGGTAAACTTTGGCAGTTTCCACAACACCTGTAATCTCAGCGACCTGAGTGAAAGGACAGAGACACCAGTCAAAACAGACTCTCACAGAGCTTTCCACACTACTCTTCCTTTGCCTCTATCTACCTGAATGCATACAAGTGGCCCTGTGCCCAGAGGAGCCCACAGCTGCCAGGTGTTCTGGACACCTTTTGAGCACAGAGAGCCTGGTGTCCAGGGGAAGCAAGTACCAGGGGAAGAGGTGGCTAGCCTTCTGGAGCCCATTAGAAGCTTTTCCTCTAACTAACTCTACCTCACTAGGGGAAGCAGGTGGGACTTCAGAGGTTGATTTTTATCAATCAATGTGAAGACCAGGGAGGTAAGTTTCTGCTGCCAGGCCTTTCAGGACATGGCAAGGCTGCAGGTCCTCACACATGGACATAAACACACATTAAAACCAGGCGACTAAGGCGTCATGTCTGGCTGCGAAGGCGGCAAGAAGAAGCCCCTGAAATAGCCCAAGAAACAAGCCAATGAGATGGACAAAGATGAAGCTTTCAAGTAGAAACAAAAAGAAGAGCAGAAGAAACTCAAAGTGCTAAAAATGAAGGCCATGGGATAGGACCCCTGGCCAGAGGTGTTATTAAGAAATCTAGCAGCCGGGCTCAGTGGCTCAGCCTGTAATCCCGCGCCTTTGGGAGGCTGAGGTGAGTGGATTGCCTGAGCCCGCAGGTTCGAGACCTGCCTGGGCAGCGAGACCTCATCTCTACAATAAATAAAAAAATCAGCCGGGCATGGTAGCGCACGCCTTTAGTTCCAGCTACTTGGAAGGCTGAGGCGGAAGGATCGTCGGAGCTCAGCAGGTCGAGGCTGCGGTGGCCGGGAGCGGCCACTGCACTCCAGTCTGGGCGACAGAGTGAGACTTCAACTCGAAAAATAATAATAAATAAATAAATAAATAAAAATAAAAATAGTAACAATAAAAAATAAGATTAAATAAATAAAACCAGACAACCCAGAACAAAACAATCAAGCTACATTCTAGCCACCCAAACACAGAAGCAGTGCTGGCTATTACATAATAACCTGTATTGAGAAATTTGTTTTAAACCTCAATATAATTCCCTGATCTAGAAGTCACTTGGTATGCAACATGGAAATTTTTCTTTCATTTACTTTTCAAATGAACAGATCCTCAGATTATGTAACTCCTAACAAATGCTTCATAAATGTCTCTCTTCTCTCTTTTATACTGAAGGGGGTAGAGGAAATTATTTTAAATCCCAACCCATCAGTCCCTTGGGCTCCACGTATTCTTCCTGGCAGCAGGTCATGAATGATCTCAGATTGTCACTGCTCTACGGACATCCCATTTGGAGTCTATATTCCAGTCAAATGGTGGCAGACTAGTGACAGATTTGTTCAGTAGGTCCTACCTTCAGTCGAGAACCATTATATTTAAAACATGGACAAATGTCCAAGGAAAGAAATACTAACCCGGTAGACTGGTTTGCTGTTGTGGTTTCCAATGCCAATCCGTACAAAACAACCTGTGACGGTTTTAGCAAAGAAGGGCATGTGACACCAACGTTCTAGCTTATGCCGTGATAATCGAACCCGATTCAATTCTTCAGGTAAGGAGACTGGTTGGGATTTAGGAGGGATCTCTTCTTTCCTGTGAGGAACAAAGGAGTACTGGAAAAAGTGTTCATCATAAAAACAGAATAAGATAGAAAAATAACACCACCATCTCAAAACTTAACCAAAGTTCATGTGATAAACCTAGGAGGAGAAATAGATGAAGCACCAGGAAAGCGTGTATAGACTCCTGTTCCTAACCAGTAGTGTGAACTATCTAGAATAAGGTTGCTATCCCAGATAACCTATCAGAGTACGAAAACTAATGAAAGTTCCAGGCCAATCTGAGAGGGACATGAAGTCAGTCCTATGTGCCAGGCCCAGGTGAAGTGTCCAGGGGACAGGCTAGCAGCCAGAGATAGAAGAAATGAAGGGGCTCATGTGCCTGGAAACTCAGTTCAGCAAACCAAATTAATGGCCCAGACTGGGAGATTTTGGAACCTGTACCAAGCTCCTCCTCAAAGAATCTGTTGAGCCTGCCTATAGACCAAAATGTACAGAAGTGCTTACTCCTCTTCCTCATCAGACGACGAAGTTCGGGATGAGCGGTCTGACTTTTCACTGGACTTGTCATCCTCTTCCTCCTCCTCATCGTCAGAGTAGACCTCACTGGTTTTTAATGGCTGTTTTTTGGCGAGGAGCTCAGCTGGAAAGAAAGAGAAATGTTTACCTAGGTTTCCTCAACAAGAAACTGAAATGGAAGAGGACTCAAATACACAGCTCTATCCTCTCCAGACTGGACTGTGGTAACTCGGGCTCTACACAGAAATCAGTTAAAACAGATACCTAAAATCATTCAGGTGTCAAATGCCAAGCGCCAACGGAAAAAAAAGAGCTGAAAGACTGATACTAAGTGGGCAGAGAGGTCACCAACACTACTGACAGATGCTTTTTTTTTTTTTTGAGTTAGAGTCTTACTCTGTCGCCCAGGCTGGAGTGCAGTGGCACACTCATAGCCACTGCAGCCTCAACCTGCTGGGCTCAGGTGATCCTTGTGCCTCAGCCTTCCAAGTAACTGGAACTATAGGCACGCACCACCATGTCTGGCTACTTTTTTTGATTTATTGTGGAGATGAGATCTCGCCAAGTTGCCCGGCTGGTCTTGAGCCCTTGGGCTCAGGCAATTCTCTCACCTCGGCCTCCCAAAATACTGGGATTATAGGCGTGAGCCACAGTGCCCAGCTGACAGATGCCTCTTATTGCACTCAAAATACTTGAAGATGGGCAGAAAAGGAGTGTTCGAGACTCATTAAGACTTCAGAGAGTTAAAAAAAATTTTTTTTTGCTGGGCTCGGTGGCTCAGCCTGTAATCCCGTGCTTTGGGAGGCTGAGGTGAGTGGATTGCCTGAGCCCGCGGGTTCGAGACCCGCCTGGGCAGCGAGACCTCATCTCTACAATAAATCAAAAAATCAGCCAGGCATGGTAGCGCATGCCTGTAATTCCGGCTACTTGGAAGGCTGAGGCAGAAGGATTGCCAGAGCCCAGCAGGTCGAGGCTGCGGTGGCCGGGAGCGGCCACTGCACTCCAGTCTGAACAACAGAGTGAGACTCCAACTCAAAAAAAAAAAAATTTTTTTTAATAAGTAGAGACAGAATCTTGCTCTGTCACCCTGGCTGGAGTGCAGTGCTGTAATTACAGCACTCTACAACTTTAACTCCTAAGCTCAAGTGATCCTCACTCCCACCTCAGCCTCCCAAGAACCTAGTACTAGGAGCATAATCCATCACAACCTGCTACCTTTTTTTTTTTTTGAGTTGGAGTATCACTCCTTTCCCCAGGCTGTATGGAGTGCAGTGGTACATATGCTCATGGCCACCCCAGTGTTGACCTTCTGGGCTCCAGCGATCCTTCTGTCTCAAGCCTTTTGAGTAGCTGGAACTACAGACGTGTGCTACCATACCCAGCTATTTTTTATTTTATTGTAGAGACGCGGTCTCGTCAAGTTGCCCAGACTGGTCTTGAACTTGCGGGCTCAGGCAATCCAGTTGCCTCAGCCCCAGAAAGTGCTGGGATTACAGGCTGAGCCACTGAGCCCAGCCTTGCTTTTAATAAAAATTTTTGTTAGCTGGGCACAAGGACTGACTGAATTCAGTGGTTCGAGATCATCCTGGGCAATTCGGCAAACCTAGTCGCTACAATAAATCTAAAAATTAGCCAGGTGTGGTGGCATGCACCTGTAGTTCCAGCTACTTGGAAGGCTGAGGTAGAAGTATCACCTGAGCAAGTCAAGGCTGCAATGGCTATCAGTGTGCCACTGTACTCCAGCCTGGGCGACAGAGTGAGACTCTGACTCAAAAAAAAAAAAAATTTTTTTTTTTTTGTAGAGACAGGGTCTCTCGCTATGTTACCCAGGCTGGTCTCAAATTCCTGGCCTCAAGCGATTCTCCTGCCTCAGCCTCCCAAAGTGCTAGGATTATAGGCATGAAACACCACACTCAGATGACGACAGAGAGTTTGTGAGAAAAATTTCAAGTAAGAGAGTGGCTGAGTCACCTCTGGTACATTTACCAATGGACCACTATGCAGTTATAAAAAACAAATTATTTAATCCTGAGTCAGAAAATATTTTTTAAATGGCCAGATAGTAAATATTTTAGGCTTTTTATTCATATGTTCACTGCTTCAATTACTCAATTATGTGAACAAATGGATACTGCTGTATTCCCATGAAATTTTATTTACAAAAAGTTTGCTGGCTCACACCTATAATCCCAGAATTTTGGAAGGCTGAGGAAGGAAAATTGCTTGAGCCAGCCTGGGCAACAGAGTGAGACCCCCATATCTAAAAACAAAGAAAAGAAAAAGAAGTAAATGCAATGGATTAAAACACATAAGGTTTGTCAAAAATCCGTGAGTTCACAAGGGTATTCAAAATAAATAAACCTCACTGGTCACATTTGGAAATTGCTAAGGAATTATTTCATTCTTTTGAAAATTGGTAAAAAGGAAAATAAATCAAGCATTTATCTTGCATTTCCTACTCAAAATATACCTACAACTAAATAGTTGACAGAACACATTAGTATTTCCAGTTCTTCACCCCTCTTCACACCCATGCCTTTGCTATGTAAATTGGTAGTGACACTGTGCCAATTTCATGTTTAGTTCTTAAGAGGCATTATGTGTTTCTGCTTGCCCCTGTTACACTTCTACCATTATCATAAGAATGTGCCTGGGGCTTACTACTCCAAGGAGACAGAACAGACCTGGCCTTAACCTGCAGCTGAATTGAGATGCATGAGCAGAAATAGGGGGTAGTTTGTTACTGCACCTCTCCTAACTGACACAGAACTGGTAACGTCACAAAATGAGAGGCAATCAGATATTATATATCCCTCCTTATGGAAATACATACCACCACCTAAAAATCATCCCTCCCCAAACAACAAAAAAACAGAACAAACCCAAATCTGACCAATGCTTTAGCTCTAACTGCCAATATACAGAAAATTCAAGTGACTACAGAAATACATTCAACAACACCAAGGAGATACATTTAGCATCCATGAGAAATTGTAAGACGAATGAGCCAGTTTCTTGAGCAAATAAACTGCAAGGTGGGGAAAAAAAGAGATGGGGAAGAAAACCTATAGAGTAAGTGATTTAGGGGACATAATGACAAATCATAATGTGTGGACTTTAAGATTCAAACAATAAATTAATATTTAATATTTTTTAAGTTATAAAAGATAGAGAAATTTGAACACTGGTAAGATATTGATAATATTAAGGGAGTCATTGTTATAATTTTCAGGTATAATAATGGTATTGCAGTTAGGTTTAAAACAAGAGTCCTAGCCAGGTTTGGTGGCTCAGCCTGTAATCCTACACTTTGGGAGGCTGAAGTGAGTGGATTGCCTGAGCCTGCGGGTTCGAGACCCGCCTGGGCAACTTGGCGAGACTTCATCTCCACAATAAATCAAAAATTAGCTGGGCGTGGTAGTGCGCGCCTGTAGTTCCAGCTACTTGGAAGGCTGAGGCAGAAGGATCGCCGGAGCCCAGCAGGTTGAGGATGCGGTGACCAGGAGCGGCCACAGCACTCCAGTTTGGGTGACGGAGTGAGACTCCAACTCAAAACAAAAACAAAAACAAAAACAAACAAGAGTCCTTATCTTTTAGAAACACATATTGAAATATTTATGGTTGGACTATCTCACATTTACTTCAAAATAACCTGATGGTATATCATATTGAGAATTTTAAAAAAATCTGATGGAAGGAGTATTGATTTAGCAAGACTCAACAGGAGCTGATTGTTGAGGCTGGATATTGGGTTCGTGGAAGTTTATTATACTATTCTCAGTATATGTATGAAATTTAATATAAGAAAAAGCTAAAAAGAGCAGAAAAAAATAGACACCAGGGAGGCTAGGTGCAGTGGTTAACGCCTATAATCCCAAGTGTTTTGAGAGGCCAAGGTGGAAGGATCACTTGAGGCCAGGAGTTTGAGGTTACAATGAACTATGACTGAACCACTGCACTCCAGTCTGGGTGACAGAGTGAGACCCTATTGCCAAAAAAAAAGGGGGGGAGGTGTCACACAAAGAAGTTAAATCACAGGATCAAAGACGCCAAGTAACTTATTACATTTCCCCCCACTGACCTGTTCTGTTCTTCCGTTTTTCTCGCTCTGCTTTTAGCTCCTCCATGGCTTGAGATTTCTTATCTAGTTTCTCATCCCGTTTGGAACGCCGTTCCTTGTTGTGGGATGTTACCTGGGAAAGGAAGATGGTTCTTTTAACCAACGGCTGACGATAAGATTCTCTAAACTCAACAATACATTAGTATATTCAATTCTCTGTTGTGAATCTGTATTGGCTACAGAACCTTAGAGCTTGTAGTTTAAGAGGAGAGAGCATCCTCTTGTGGACAAAGAGGATAGGACCAGTAAAGGAATCCTGTCTTAACTGCTTAATAAAGCAGCAAGTTTAAGAATTATCTAAATAAACTCTTTCTGGAAGAACACCTTAGGTCATAGCTAATATATGTTGATGTTACCAACAAAACTTTTGATGATAAACACAGAGATGTCTTTCCCAACTATATTTACATTATTTATATCAAGTCTAGGATGATATACACCTGAGTAAACATCATAAGCAATCTGTCTACCTAGGACAGGATATTTACCAATTTTTCCTTAAAGGATGCTCATACACTAGTGGACCGCTTTTTAAATGCAGACTTGAGTGAAAGTTGCAGTGCAGTAGCACATCTGGAGTCCCAGTCACTCAGGAGGCTGAGGCGGTAGGACTGCTTGAGGCCACAGTACATTATCATTATGCCAGCAAACAGTCACTGTATCTCAGCCTGGGCAACATAGCAAGACCTCATCTCTTAAAAAGGGAAGAAAAAATGGCTGGGCACAGTGGTTCAGTCTGTAATCTCAGCACTTTGGGAGGCTGAGGTGAGAGGACTGCCTGAGCCCAGGGGTTCAAGACCAGCCTGGGCAACTTGGTGAGACCTTATCTCTACAACAAATCACAAAAAACTAGCCAGGCATGGTGGCATGCATTTGTAGTTCCAACTACTTGGAAGGCTGAGGTGGAAGGATGACCTAAGCCTGGCGAGTCGAGGCTGCAGTGGCTGTAAGCGTGCTACTGCACTCCAGCCTGGGCGATAAGAGTGAGACTCCAACTCAAAAAAAAAAAAAGAAAAAAGAAGTCCTAAGGAGTTAAACAGTACAGCTAATAAAACCTACAGGGTGCAGACATGTCATAAGTCTTGCACTAACTAACCTAAGGTGATTAATATAAACCAACTTTTTACACACACACACACACACACACACACACACACACACACACTCCAGACAGAAGTTTATTCTTTGGACAATGAAGACCATTGAATCTCCTACCTGAGATTCTTGAATCTGTGTCAGCTTTTTCTTTTCCTGCTCCTCTTCTTGCTTTTTCTTTTTTTCTTTCTTTTCTTTCTTTTTGGCTGTTTTTAGTTTTTTCTTGATTTCAAATCTGGTTAAAAGATATTTGTTTGGTTTTTAAGCAGCAATGAAATATACGTAAAGATTGATTTCTATTAGATAGAAGAAAGGAAATAAGTAGGGGAAAGGAGTTAATAAATACTTTGGCCTCCTGCAAGAAACTCCTATGTTCCTTATAAGTACTTTAAAACATTGACTATAAGTACAACAAAAAGTACTTGAAAGTATTATGCTGAAACAGACATCAAATGAGAGAAAATATATAGAATATTGCTATACTCATCTTTAGGCTTTTGGCAACACAATTTCTTCAACCTTCATGTAATCAAATGGTTTACTCCTGGATCAATCTAGGTAGCAAAACTAAACTACAATGGTGTTCCATTCGACAGCCAATGTTACGTTTTTAAGGTGCTCAGGGCAAATTTAAAAATTTTTTCTAACTTTCCAACTTTCTTCATTAAGAAAAGTGTTCCCCACACCAGCAAGTATATGAATAAATATGTGATTCTCTTCAACAATGGTAACCTAGGCTCCCTCTTCATAACAAAAATCAAAATTTTATAAAACAAAAATAATGTTATGTGGAGGTAAGGAATTTTATGAAATAAAGGAATATAATAGACATTATATTCATCATAACATTATAAAATAAGCCGCATTGTCCATTTTTAACTTAGTTCTTCTTTTTTTTTTTTTTTTTTAAGAGTTGTCACCCAGACTGAAGTGCAGTGGCCGCTCCTGGCCACCGCAGCCTTGACCTGCTGGACTCCGGCGATCCTTCCGCCTCAGCCTTCCAAGTAGCTGGAACTACAGATGCGAGCTACCACACCCGGCTAATTTTTGATTTATTGTAGAGATGAGGTCTCACCAAGTTGCCCAGGCGGGTCTCGAACCTGCAGGCTCAGGCAATCCACTCACCTCAGCCTCCCAAAGCGCGGGATTACAGGCTGAGCCTGGTTTAACTTAGTTCTTAAATAATATTGTACCTAATATTTTTGTTCTGCTCTTTTCACTCACTACTAAGATTGTTAATGTACATTTATAATAGGAGATAGGGAAGCACTGCTATGAAGTAATTCCTTTTTAAGAGAGTTAATGCCAGGTGTGGTGGCTCACGCCTGTAATCCTAGCACTTTGGGAGGCCGAGGCAAGAGGACTGCCTGAGCCCAGGGGTTTGAGACCAGCCTGGGCCATTTGGTGGCACCTCGTCTCTTCAACAAATCAAAAAATTAGCTGGGCATGGTGGTGCACACCTATAGTTCCAGCTACTTGGAAGGTTAAGGTGGAAGGATCGCCTGAGTTTACCAGGTCAGCAAGTCAGGCCAAGGCTGCAGTAGCCGTGAGTGTGCCACTGCACTCCAGCCTGGGCGACAAAGTGAGACTCTGACTCAGAAAAAAAAAAAAAAGGAAATATCTCAAACCAATAATCTAAGTTAAGACAATAAAAGAAGAATAAACTAAATGTTGAAGCAAGCATTAAAAAATTAATAAGCCGGGCTCGGTGGCTCAGCCTGTAATCCCGCGCCTTTGGGAGGCTGAGATGAGTGGATTGCCTGAGCCCGTGGGTTCGAGACCCGCCTGGGCAGCGAGACCTCATCTCTACAATAAATCAAAAAATCAGCCGGGCGTGGTAGCGCATGCCTGTAATTCCGGCTACTCGGAAGGCTGAGGCGGAAGGATCACCGGAGCCCAGCAGGTGGAGGCTGCGGTGGCCGGGAGTGGCCACTGCACTCCAGTCTGGGTGACAGAGTGAGACTCCAACTCAAAAAATAAAAAAAATAAAAATAAAAATAAAAATAAAAAATTAATAAAGATTAGAGTTGAAATGAATGAGTCAGAGAATAGAAAAATATAGGCAATGAATAAAACCAGAAGTTGGTTCTTTGAAAAGATCAACAAAATTGATAAACCTTTAGCAAGCCTGACCAAGAAAAAAAGAGACAACACTCAAATTGCTAAAGTCAGGTATAAAAGAAGGGACATTACTATCAACTTTATAGAAATAAAAAAGATTATATGAAAATATTATGAACAACTGTATGGCAACAAATTAGGTGATTTAGGTGAAAAGGAAAAATTCCTTAAAAGATACAACCATCACAATTGACTCAGAAATAGAAAATTGGAATAAATATTTTAATCAGTAACTTAAAAAACTTTCCATAAAGAAAAGCTCAGGGCTAGGTGGCTTCACTGGAGAGTTCTACCAAATATTTAAAGAATGTATTTAAAGAATACCAATTCTTCACAAATTTTCTAAAATATAGAAAAGCAGGAAACAAATATCAACTTATTCTAGGAGGCCAGTATTACCCTGATACCAAAATAAGACAAGGACATAAAAGTATAGACCAGTATCTCTTATAAATACAGACATAAACTATCTTTAACAAAATAATAGCAAATTGAACGCAGCAAAATAATAGCAAATTGAAAGGATTACGCACCATGACTAAGTAGGACATATTTCAGAAAGGCAAAAAAAAAAAAGCTATAACATTGTTCATATTCATAGACTGGAAGAAAATATTAAGATGGCAATACCCCCAAACTTGATCTAAAGAGTCAATACAATTTTTATCAAAATCCTGGTTGCTTGCTGGGTATGATGGCTCATGCCTGTAATCCCAGCACTTGGGAGGCAGAGGCAAGAAGATTGTCTGAGCTCAGGGGTTTGAGACCACACTAGGCAACATGGTGAGACCTTGTCTCTAAAATAAATAAAAAAAATTAGTGTGCGTCTTTAGTTCTAGCTACTTAGAAGGCTGAGGTGGAAGGATTGTCTGTGCCCAGCAGGCCAAGGCTATGGTGGTCTTACGTATGTCACTGCATTCCAGTCCAGGAAACAGTGAGACTCCAACTCAAACAAAACAAAACAAAACAAAACAAAATAACAACAAAAAAAATCCTGGCTGCTTTTTTTTTTTTTTTTGAGTTGGAGTCTCAATCCTTTGCCCAGGCTGGAGTGTAGAGGCACACACGCTTACAGCCACCCCAGTGTTGATGATCTGGGCTCCCGTGATCCTTCCGTCTCAGCCTTTTGAGTAGCTGGAACTACAGATGCGTGCTACCATACCTGGCTATTTTTTATTTTATTGTAGAGATGAGGTCTCGCCAAGTTGCCTGGGCTGGTCTTGAACCTGTGAACTCAGGCAATCTACTCTCCTCGGCCTCCCAAAATGCTGGGATTATAGGCTAAGCCACTGAGCCCTGCCTACTTTCCCCTCCTCCCCATGCAGCAATTGACAAGCTGATTCTGAAATTCACATGGGAATACCAAGGACCCTATACAACAAACACTTTTGAAAAAGGACAGAGTTGGAGGACTCATATTTCCCGATTTCAAAGCTGACTACATAGCTACAATAATTAAAACAGTATGGTAATGGCATAGGACAGATATATGGATTAATGGAATAGAATTGAAGGTACACAAATAAATAAATCCATATACCTATGGTCAACTTATTTTTTAATTTTATTTTTTTTGAGTCGGAGTCTTACTCTGTCACTGCTCAGGCTGGAGAGCACTGGCAAGCTCACAGTTATCGCAGACTTGACCGGCTGGGCACAGGTGATCTTTCCATCTCAGCCTTCCAAGTAGCTGAAACTACAGGAGCATGCCATCACACCTGGCTAACTTTTTGATTTCTTGTAGAGACAAGATCTTATCATGTTGTCCATGGTCTTCAACCCCTGAGCTTAGGCAATCCTCTTCTCTCCTTCTCCTAAAATGCTAGGATTACAGGCATGAGCCACCATGCTTAGCCAGACAATTTATTTTTGATGAGGGTACAAGGAGCATTCAATAGGGAAAGAATAGTCTCTTCGACAAGTAGTGCTGGGACAACTGGATATATACAGGCAAAAGGATGAAGCTGGACCCCTACCGCACCTGACATAAAAATTATCTCCAGATGGATAAGAAATAAAACTATAAGGCTCTTAGAAGAAAACAGGGGTAAAGCTTCATGACCTTGGAATTGGCAATTGATAATTATTATTTTTTTTTAGTCAGATTCTCACTCTGTTGTCCAGGCTGGAGTGCAGTGGCACACTCATGGCCAATGTAGCCTTGACCTGCTGGGCTCAGGCAATCCTTCTGCTTCAGCCTTCCAAGTAGCTGGAACCACAGACATGTGCCACCATAACTGGCTAATGTTTTGATTTATTGTAGAGACGAGGTCTTGCCATGTTGCTTAAGCTGGTCTTGAACCATTAAGCTCAGGCAATCCTAGTGTCTTTGCCTCCCAAAGTGCTGGGATTACAGGTGTGAGCCACCGCGCCTGGCAGCAATTAATTCTTAAATATGATAGCAAAAGCATGAGCAAGAAAAGAAAAAACAAATTGTACTTTATAAAAATTTTGTAAGATTTCATTAAATATAACATTACCAAGAGAATGAAAAGACAACCTATGGAATGGGAGAAAATATTTGGAAATCATACATCTGATGAGGGTCCAGTATCTAGAATATATATAGAACTCTTACAATTCAAGAACAAAAACTCAGTTTGTTTGTTTTTTTTTTTGAGTTGGAGTCTCACTCAGTCGCCCAGACTGGAGTGCAGTGGCCGCTCCCGGCCACTGCAGCCTCGCCTGCTGGGCTCTGGCAATCCTTCCGCCTCAGCCTTCCAAGTAGCCAGAATTACAGGCATGCGCTACCACGCCCGGCTGATTTTTTGATTTATTGTAGAGATGAGGTCTCGCTGCCCAGGCGAGTCTCGAACCCGCGGGCTCAGGCAATCCACTCACCTCAGCCTCCCAAAGGCGCGGGATTACAGGCTGAGCCACCGAGCCCGGCGTCAAAAACTCAGTTTTTTAAAAAATAGGCATTACAAGTGATTTGGTTAAAAAAAAATGGGCAAAGGACTGAACAGACATTTCTCCAAAGATTTATAAATGGCTAACAAGTGCATGAAAAGATGTTCTACATAATTAAACATCAGGAAAATGTAAATCAAAACAATAAGAAGATACCACTTCATACCCACCAGAATGGCTATGATCAAAAAATGGGAAAATGACAAGTGTTAGAAAGGATGTGGAGAAGACTAGAACCCTTATCATTGCTGATGGGAATATAAAATGGCACAGTTGCCGTGAAAAACAGTTTGGCAGTTTCTTAAAAAGTTAGAGTTACCATATGACCCAGGAATTAGACTCCTAGGTTTCACACAAAGAAACTGAAAACAGATACTCAAATGGTTGTATATAAATGTTCACAGTAGCACTATTCACAATAACAAAAAGGTAGAAAAAACCCAAATGTCAATCAACCAATGGATGAATAAAATGTGGTTTACACAATGAAATGCATGCTAAATGTTCAGTCACAAAACACTACATATTATATGATTCCACTTATAATAGGCCAATCTATAGAAACAGAAAGTAGTCTGGTGGCTGCCTGGGGCTGAGAGGCTTGAGAAGAAAGAGAGGAGTGATGAAAATGTTCTAGGGGAGTGCAGAAATGCTCTAGAATTAATTATGGTGATGACTGCACAGTTCTGTGGACATATAAAAACTACTGGATTATACATGTTAAGTGGCTGTTTCTAAACAAAGTTATTTTATTTTATTTTATTTTTTTTGAGTTGGAGTCTCACTCTGTCGCCCAGACTGGAGTGCAGTGGCCGCTCCTGGCCACTGCAGCCTCGACCTGCTGGCCTCCGGCGATCCTTCCACCTCAGCCTTCAAGTAGCTGGAACTACAGGCGCGCGCTACCACGCCCGGCTAATTTTTGATTTATTGTAGAGATGAGGTCTCGCCAAGTTGCCCAGGTGGGTCTCGAACCCGCGGGCTCAGGCAATCCACTCACCTCAGCCTCTCAAAGGCGCGGGATTACAGGTTGAGCCACCGAGCCCAGCTAATAAAGTTATTTTTAAAGTTAATAATACCTTATATTTACATAATGTTCTTAAGTGTATCATCTCACTTGAGGTCTACAAAAACCCCTGAAGAGGAAGCTGAAGCAGGAAGGGGGTAAGTGATTTAATCCAGACCACCTGGCCAGTGAGTCTGACTTGAAACTAGACCTTCTGACAGAAACTGTTAGTGCTTTTTCCACAGCCAGGCTATCTTTTATGCTACCTGCACCCATGAAGAATCTACCAAACTGAAAATGACATCTCACTACTAGTGCTGCTGGCTATAATATAAATGGGATGCTAATGGAATTTACAAAAAAAGACAGTTTTATGAAGATGAAGTGAGATCCATACAAAGACCTTTACTAAGTGAAAAAAATGGAAATTTCTGAGTTACTATATTGCAGTGTCCTGAAGATGAACAAATGAGCTACAAAAATATGAAGTTTCTGTGTATGGCTCTGAAACTTTGTCTTCAATATCATTTAAACATTCTTCTAGTCACTAAAAAAGTCACAGAATCAGTCAACTCCCTCATGCACATAAGGTGAAAAATATAAAAACTAAGTTTGAGACACTATATGCATTACTCTTGAGTAACTTTGTGATTTTTCTCTTCTTTTTTTTTTTTGAGTTGGAATCTCTCTCTGTCGCCCAGACTGGAGTGCAGTGGCCGCTCCCGGCCACTGCAGCCTCGACCTGCTGGGCTCCCGGGATCCTTCTGCCTCAGCCTTCCGAGTAGCCGGAACTACAGGCGCACGCTACCATGACCAGCTAATTTTTTGATTTATTGTAGAGATGAGGTCTCGCCAGGTTGCCCAGGCGGGTCTCGAACCCGCGGGCTCAAGCAGTCCATTCACCTCAGCCTCCCAAGGTGAGGGATTACAGGCTGAGCCACCGAGCCCGGCTACTTTGTGATTTTATAATACAGGTCTATTGACCTTATATGACAACATCTTTATTTTTTTATTTTGTCTTTGAGTTGGAGTGTCACTGTTGCCCAGGCTAGAGTACAGTGGCATGCTCATGTCCACCACAGACTTGACCTGCTGGGCTCAAGTGATCCTTCAACCTCAGCCTTCCAAGTAACTGGAACCACAGGCATGCGCCACCATGCCTGGCTAATTTTTGATTTATTGTGTAGATGAGGTTTCGCCACATTACCCAGGCTGGTCTTGAACCCCTAAGCTCAGGCAAACCTCTTGCATCCCAAAGTGTTGGGATTATAGATGCATGAACTGCTGCACCCACTATGACAACCTCTTGTTATATACTCTGCACAGTCCAGAAATAAGAATTTTGGAAGTCACCCGTAACTACCTGGCAACTCTAGCACAGTTTCTGAAGTCCTGTTTGTTTCAATACAGGTAATCGTGGAAGCAGTCACACCCAAAACTAATGTCTACTTTATGCTGGTGACTGAAAGTCAAACATTCTTGTCTATGGTAACTCATCATACTTAATTTGGTCTTCAGAAGAGAAACACAGACCCCTAGATGAAAAAGAACTAAGTGCTGGAAAGAAAATGCTTCTATTTTCCTGTCATGATACTAGGTAGGCAGGGAAGGAAGGATTCTAGTTCTGAAGGCTATTTTATTTTCTGGGACAAAAGTCAAGTTTATTTTTACCTTGAAATTCTGCTAGGAGATAAGGAAGAACTTGTGCCATATTTTAAATTTTTCCATTTAAAATATAGCAAAAATTCCAAAAAAATGAAGAAGCTTTTAAATATTAAAAAGCCTCGGTGGCTCAGTCTGTAATCCCACGCCTTGGGAGGCTGAGGTGAGTGGATTGCCTGAGCCCACGGGTTCAAGACCCGCCTGAGCATCTTGGTGAGACCTCATCTCTACAATAAATCAAAAAATTAGCCGGGCGTGGTAGCGCGCACCTGTAA